ATCTGAATCTTAATGTTTATTGTGCAAAAAATACATTGAGATTCTTCTTTAATATAACTTCTATATTTTTTTGTCCCTCATGTAATTTAATTTTTCTTATTTTGCCATTATAAGACTTTTAATTACATTTGTAGCCCTCAATGGTTCTCTCTTCGGAATGTGGGTACCTGTGCCATTTTTCACTTTTGAGGGGTTCTTTTGGCCATTCCACCGGAACATTTGCCCCGGCTCGCCAAAATCTAGGAGGTGAGAGATTTACTTTTTAGGGTTTTTTCTGTCGATTGACAAGCAAATCTCACTTTAAAGCATTCCTGAGAGATTTCTAGGGTTCGGTGCTCCATTTCTTTGCGTTAGTCCGCAGCGTAGGTTTTCCGACATACGATTTGCGTTAGGTGTACGTCGATCATTTGCAAAGACTTTTTTCGAGGCTCGTATGTCGGGCGCCATTCGTGCGTCTTCAATCTAGTTTCAGAAGATTTTTTTTTTTTGTTCTTCGTTCTCCCATTTTTGCTTGATTTGAAGCTAGTTTGGGGATTGATTATGTATTGTTGAATGGTAATCTTATTGCCTAACATAAGAATCCTGCTAAGTTATAAGAAGCTTTGGGCCGTAATTTGGTGTTATGCTTCGTACATGTGATTACGTTGCACGGGAATGATATATGTGATGATTTGTTGACATGAATCCGGAAACTGGAGGTTTTGCTAGGTGCGTGAAGCACCCGTCTCAGTTTTTTACAGGTTTCTGCTCAACCTGCTTGGTTGAGAGGTTGTCCAATGTTGATTCTGTGGAAAGCACCAGGAGCCCTACTTGCGGTCTTAGAAATGAGATCTTCGAGATCTCTGAATCGGTTTCCGATTCACAGGGGAAGAATGGTGGTGTAAGGGTACGGAAGACCTTGTTGTCTCTTTTTGAATTAGAGGATCTCAAGGAATTGGAGATGGTGGAGCATGTTTCAGCTAGTTATAAAGCTGACTCTTCAGAGATTGATCAGCTTGGGGTGAACTTTGAGCTAGAGCGAAAAGGTTTGGATGACAGAGCTGGTGTTTCAGGGAACACTAGTTTGGATAGGGAGAAATCTGAGGCCTTAGAAGGTGAAAGTTTGAAGGATAATAGAATTTCCTTTTGGTTACCCTCAAAGCTTTTGATGGCAGGATTGAAATGGGGGAGTAGATGCAGTTCCAGGAAAGGCCCTATGCAGGAGAGTTACTTGAACATTGGAACTGGAAACACTTCAGTGGATGATAACCCTAAAATTCAGACTTCTACCAATTTGATGGATTGTCGTGATCCAAGCAAGTTTTGTTGGGAGAAGCCGAGACATTCTTGGGATGGTTCAGTGATGAGCAAGGCATTGGCATGCTCATTTTCCTGTCTACATGAGCAACGAGATGGTTCAGACAAGATTAAAGGAACTTTATCTGATGAATATGCGTCTTCTGATCTTCAAAGATCTTTTGGAGCAAACGATAGCAGCAAAGCTAACGATGGGATTTTGGCAGACCATAACTGTTTCCCTACCAATGGCAGTTTTGGAGATATTCCTTTAGGGCTCCATGGCGAACAACCCTGCCAAGATATTAATGCTTCAGATGTTTGCAGGAAGAAGTCAAATCGGTGGTGCAGAGTGTGGGATTGGAGCTTAACCAGCCCTTTTAGGGATTTTGCGAACAGAAATGGTCATGTTTTGGAGAGATCTCTGTCAGAATCCTGGCGTGATAACCATAAGGATAACAATGCAAGACATTTTCATCCAAGCGTTGAAGTTCACGTCACTGGGACTCCATTAAGCAAGCTACGTCAAAATCGAAGTTTTAGTGGAGATTTTGTAGCTGCGAATGTTAATAAACATGCCCAGAAGCATGATTTGCAAAAGATGAGAGATTTCAAGCTCAGTCGAAGCCATAGTGTTCGGTACTCCTCTCCTCGAAACCTTGACAATGGTCTTCTTCGCTTTTATTTGACTCCTTTGAGAACCAGCAGAAGAAGCACGGCCAAGTGGAGGAGGAGAACTTCACATCCTCTCGCTAGAGGCTTCTTTGGGGCATGAGTTGTAGATAAAGCTGAACTTCAGTGACGAGAGGTACTTTGATTTTTATTCATAATTTTGATTTGGAATCCTGCTTCATTTTTTTTTTTTTTGGTTTTGCTGATTTGTGGAGATATTTTCAGGTCAACTTTGATAAGCCAATGAGTAAGTATGACAATTTTCTTTTATATTCTTAGTCCCATTTTACAGGATCTGCTATTTTTTGTATTTCTCTCTGATAGTTTATTAGGGAAAAGATAATAGCATGTAAAACTTTGTTTCCTGAAAGTATTCACATTTGTAACTAGAAATTAGTTTTCCTGGCTTTTATTATACCAAAGATTATAAAATGAGAGCCATTTTATTTACTTTGACATTAGATTTTTGGAGCAACTTCCAAGCACATCTGGGGAAGACTACTTGAATGAGTTATTGCTTTTCAATTAGTTAATAAAAGGGAAATTTACATACATACCACACAATTCTTAAGTATTTACATATCTAATACCCAATATTTGGTATTAATATTTAGAACATCTTGGTGACATAAACCTATACATGAAAAGGTTTATTTCGCTTTTAAAAAGGAAGTAATGGTGATATTTTTGATGTGATGATAAATATTTTAATGTTATGTATGTAAATATGAATGTTTAGGTGTTGGATATTTATATACATGATAATTGTGTGGTATGTATGTACGTGGCATGCCTCTTAATAAAATTATTAGCTCTTTAACTAATAATAGATCACCTTGTTTTGTGGACTATTGAAAGTTATAATAATTTCTCTTGCATTTATATTTGAAGTTGGTCATAGAAATTTAAGAACTTCATTTTAGTTGAAGAACTATCGAATGATGGTGAAGCAAACATGATATTGCAAGTCTACCCATATCTCTCCATTTCAAAATACATCTAAGCGGACAGGATGCATGTGTGGAGCTGTCTCTAGACCTAGTCGTCTTATCTAATTTCTCGTGATTTATATTCTTTCAACTCCTTAAGTTGAAGATGAAGTTAATCACCTCACCTCTTGCTTCGCTTGAACATGAAAATAGCTCCTCTCATTTGTTAGGGTTTGGGTTGTACTTTCTCTTTTACCTTTGACATTGCTATATATATCACAGTATCTATGCATGGAAAGGTGTAATTCACTTTTTAATAGTTAAAATGTTGGTAGTTTGATGTGATATGAAAGATTTGTGGGGTGTAAATGTAAAAAAGTAAAGTTTAAGTGTAGGAATTGCGTATATGTATGTAAATGTTGCATCCACGAGCAAAACAAAGCAATGCACTGGACTTTTAGCCTGCTACATCGCGTCGCATAATGCCATTGTCTGTTTCACCTGACCTTAGAACAAAAAATCCGTTAAAATTTTATGATTTAGTTCAATCTTCCACAATAATAGTCATGAATATTTGAGGACCTTCCTGTAAATTTGGATAAATTTTTTTTTTAAAGTATTTATAGCATAAGAAAATTATTTATAAGTATCGTAGTTATGTAAAATATGAAAGCATAACCCCTCTCAATTTATGATCTTTTTTTTTCCTGTCTCATTTTCAAATATTGATTCTGCCTGCTTTCAACTAAATATAAGCTAATAATTATATCAGAGAATTCTCCTCTATGCCCAGATATAGCTTATATAACCTCTATTATGAACTAACAATAACTGGATAATATATCTTAAATAACTTTAGGGCATACAAGCTATTACACTGAAGGTATGTTAGCTCTGATCAATTGTTCTGCATTAACCAAATTTGACAGAGATCAAATTTATTGATTTTGTGGGTTAATATTTGGACTTGAATTATTTGTTTTTGATTAACTTGGTCATTATAGATCTAATTTGGGAGTATGTCTAAACCTAAAATCAAGTATAAAAACATGTATGTTTGTTTAGAATTTAGTCATTAATGAGTAGAAGCTCAGCTTCAATCATGTTCTTATTGATCTTTCTTAGTAGGAGAACAATTGACCCAGTATATTCTGAGTCACTTTTCTAAAAAGAATATATATCTTTTGCCACACAACAATCAAAACAATTTTTGCAAGGGAAAAGGTTTCTTATGTTTATTTTTAATTGTTGAGAAAGTGTTGCAATGCCTGACGGTGTTAGGGAACAGTTTGTGTGCGCGAACATTATTTTTAAACTCAAACAAAGTTCGGTGTTACCGAACAGTTTGTGTGCGCGAACATTATTTTTAAACTCAAGTTATAAACAAGCTAAACATAACCTAACTTTTGTTGATCGTGTTAGGCTAGTTTTGACTTGAATTAATTAAATAATTAAATAAATAATAATAATAAATAAATAAAATAACAACAATGTCGTTGGAACTTTGTTAAACTTTGTTATATATGTCATTTTTTTAGCTATGGCATGAAAAGTTGAAATATAGAATAATATTATTATATTTTTATATTGATTTTCTATTATATTCAAATAAGTGTTGAATTTTATTATTAGTTAATTTCAAGCAAGCCGAACACTTAAAAAATATTGGGCTCGCTCGAGCTCAGCTCGTTTACACTGCCAGTGGCCTCCCTGATGATTGCTTCCAAATATTTGTAATCTTTTTTTTTTTTCTTACTATATATATATATATATCTGGACTGATGACTGTTTCATTCCCAAATTCTGATCCATAACACCATTATTCTGAGATACAAGCGCTTAATGTCGTTGGAACTTTGTTATATATGGCATTTTTTTAGCTATGGCATGAAAAGTTGAAATATATGAAGCTTTTGAATTCCAAAAAGAATGATTTGCTTCAGGTCCTTTAAAAAAAAGGAAGGGTCATTTACATGCATAGCACAGATTTCTTATGTATTTACTAACATATCCAGTACCTAAACATTCATATTTGCATGTATACACCCCTTAAATCTTTAACATGTTATCAAAAATGCCACCATCATTATCTTCTAGAATTGAACTACTCCTTTTCATGCTTTGCACCGAACCTTTTGAATTGCAAAACTAATGATTTGCTTCAGATGCTTGAAAAATGGAAAGAGACATTTAAATAAATACAGTACAATTCTGAACTTTTTACATATCAAGCATATGTACATTCATAGTTATATGTATATCACTCAAATCCTTAACACCACATACAAAACATGACCATTGTCACCTTTTAAAAGTGAAAAACACTTTTTCATGCATAGTCTTATGCCACAATATAATAGGACGCAATGGAGAAAAGGATTCATGTGGCCAACCCCACGTAGTGGAATTAAGGCTTTGTTGTTGGTGATGTTGTTGTAGTCTTATGACACAATATGTTATCATTGTAATTATCAAACTTCGAGTGTTAGTTTTATAAATACATAAGAATTGTGTCTTATGTAAATTTCCCAAAAGAAAGCTCAGGAGACACCTCTATCAAGGGAAAATTTTATGCGTGGCTGACCGTATGTTCGAACGATGATTTGGATGTGGTCATGCCGCCACGTATCACACTGTGGCTCATCCGGACGATTGTGGGATACACTGCGGCTCGTCTGGATTATCATGCGGCCGCAACGTGTAATAATTTTTCTCTATCAAGAGCCCAAAACAGCAAGCATGAGCAGACAAAAGCTGCAGCAGGTGTAGAAAGTAAGCCTAAAGCAACAGTAGCAGCAAGGCAGCAGTAAAGTTGGTGAAATGTAAATGTGCGGTAGAAATTTTACATTTGTCTCATACTTTGATAGGTTATAATTTTAGACAATAATTTCAATGAAGTTTTAAAATTAGATAAATCAAGAACTTAATATAATTAAACAGCATTTACAAATGTATATGTTTTCTGAGATTGTTGTTGTTTAATTAGGGTGACAAATGTATTTAGTTATTAGTTATTATTTAGGAATTTTATATGTAGAAATAAGAGTTTAATAAACATTATAATATTATAAAATTGAAATAGCAATTATCTATTTGATGATGCGTGTGGTTATAATAAATTTATTTCATTTATATTAGTAAAATTAATGATTTTCTTAAAAAGGAAAACCTTACAATAAATAATAACTCCTTTAAAGAGATTGAAGGCTGGTCTCTTAATTATTGAGGCATCTTTTGGCGTAAGGATGAGATTTTGATAAAAACTCTAAAGTTAAGCTTGCGCGTGATGGAGCATTCTCAGGATAGATGATCTTCGGGGAAGTTACAACAATGGAGTAAGATCGTAGTGCCATTTGGCCAGAGCGAAAAATATATTGATGGGTAATTGATATGGCAACAACAATTTTTCATCATCCGACACGGATCTTGAGACATGACATGAATCTTGAGAGGATATTTTAAGCAGGAAACATTCAAAATTTGATAAAAAGTCATGAAGACATCTTATTTCAGCAAAAATATAGTCAAACTGACCAACTGATGAGACAGAATTAATGATATGAAAACTAGCTCAATCTGAGTCAAATCAAGTTCAGATTAAATCAATGAACCACACTTAGATGATTTTCGTACACATTTGGAAGTTCAAAGGGTTGTCAAATATGACAAGTTTATATTCGAATTGAGCGGCTCGACAAGACGAATTCAACGAGCTTAAGATCACTCAATTCTGACATCATTAATGCACTCAAATGTCCAGTAAACGTTGTATGATCAAGGGAAGCTCTCTGGATCGTTCGATCAAAATGATTCATATTCCTGCATTAATTACATCCAAAACACTATAAATAGAGCCATATCCCTCTCATGAGGGGTGCTGAAGTCTGGAGAGAGTGTCTGAGACCTTGAGGAGAAGCTGCAGTTCAACATCATCGTTGATCGTCGTCGACCACCACCAACCTCCGTCGCCCACCCCCCACCCCCGACCGCCGCCGCA